GGCAAGGGTGCACGCCTGGCCCGAACTGTCGATTGATGGTTGGAGGCAAGCAAGCAAGAGCGAGCGAGACGCGGGTCCGGGCTGCTGGGCTCAAACCCTGTGGAAGGAAGCAAGGAAGGAAGCCAGCGAGAGAGAGGGAGACAGAGAGGGCACGTGCATGCAGGTAGCAACACATTGTGCACGGTGCTGCCAAACGATCAGGGCTTCTTTCGGCACGTTCCTAGACTCATGCCCACATCATTGAGACCAGATCTTATCGGCACATAATTCCACAGACGACAAAGTTGCCGGTGCACTATTCCAGGACGGCCACCAACCAGCCGTGGTGGATGGTGGCGAAATTGCCACTCGCGGGGCACCAGATGAACTGGAGGACGGCCATGATACACAATGATTAGCATGCTTGAAGCTCGGCCTGATTTTTCTCCGGTTGCAGGCCGACAACTCCATTGAAGCGATCTTAGCACGGAGCCGGCGGAAAGAGCTGGTGGCACGCGTCCGGCGCTTGGGCAGCCACGGGAACGGGTCGAGGACGCTAATCTGTTCATCAAATTATGTTATACTATACTATGCTGTATAATGATTGAATGTTATACTATGCTATACTAATTCTTACTATACCATACTTAATTATACTCTAATTGTCCGGCCTGCTGTTGCGTTTCCTTACGTAGCCAGACAGAGAGGTGAGAGACACTATACTATTCGAAGCATGTTGCGTTTGCGCAAGGCCGGACCTGGAGCCGTTCGCTATTTGCCCAGTGAAGATCCCAATGCAGCCGACTCAGCCCATCTCATGCTGTGTTTGGGGCTTTTGCTGTCCGTGCACAACGTGGCAGAGGGCAAGGTCGCCGCAGGCGAACATTTGTGAGATAACCGAACTGTGATTAGCCTAAAGTTCCCCTCCCCGGGTTGTAATGATACAATTGCATCATGTCTAGGCATCAAGTATCAGCAAGTCATCAGCATCATTATGTTTTCCATCGAACATGCGTTTGTGTTTCTTCTGAACGACAGCTGGGATGGTTCAATGTTGCAATGTTGCCTGGATTCCCACCGACTTTCATCGATACCGGGACGTCAAAGAGGTTGCATAAGACGTTCTTTTGTGGATCGTATGGGAATGTCTTCCGATTCTTTTCGTAGTCTTATTTACATTATGAGCCCAATCATGCGAGTGCTTGGTGTTTGTTGCATCCGTCGTGCCTTAAATGGTTCCTGCATGGGTTCGGGCATGTCGTTTGAGTTGCAACTCGATGGCGGAAGAGTTTGCTCGTGCATACACACAATACACAAGCCGGCGGACCAAGATCCAAACAGAGCAAGCTGTGTGCGATTGTTGAAAGATGTGGGGTGCCTCATGGAAGAGGTGGTCATCGAATGGAGTGTCCGAAAGAGGCATATGGAAAGACGAGCTCAGCACCCATAATCGTTGAGCAAGACATGTCATGTGTGACCTGTACAGCATGTTTTCCTGTAGTCGACTGGACTGGTGACGGGATTAGTGCGTTTTGGGTGGGTTGATGGGTGAGGGTGTGCTGTTCTATTGATTATGTCCAAATGTCCACCCAGAACCAGCCGCGGCAGGCTTTTCTTCTGCCGGACAACAGGCACACATTGCGTGTAGTGTTTGAAGGCAGCTCGTGCAAGCAAGTATTGCAAATTTTCGGAATGGATGTCAAGTTGAAATTGGACCAGCTGTCCAGGAAACATGTAGTTCATGCAGTACTGCTTGATATTCTGCGACGCGTGGCTCTTCGTGGCAGGTTGGAACCTGCGGAACGAAAATGGCAGAAACTATTCGTGGCCCTTCCATGGCTGACGTTCGCGGCCATGGTGGCATTCGGCACGTTTGTCTGGATTGTGCCACTTGTATTGCTTCTCCGAGCTTGCATGATGTGGTGTTTACGTGTTCCAGCGAACATCCAACATGGCAGCTCGCGCTCCCGACCCTGCTTGTGCACGGAAACCTGCCGTACCTTCTGCAGCGGGCGGAGCATGAAAAGCAGGCAAGTCGTAGGGCCGTAGGGTGTTGCTTTTCAATCGCAAACCCTTCTAGGGCCTCCATGCTCGTTTGCTGGTTGAAGGCAGTCGGAAGAAGAGTTGCACTTGCTGATCGTGTCGGAGCCTCGTCGACAGCAGCATCGCTGAAAGCAGAGGCATGCGACATTTTGCAGACTCGACGGGATGTTGACGTTCGTGTCGAAAGTTATATAGTGTGAGCGCTGAAGCCGTGCGATCGCTTGTTATGTCTAGCAGCTTCTCAGCATCACTACATGTTAGAGGTGCGCGATGTTTACGGAGTAACAGAACGACGTGATGCAATGTGCAAGGTTGCAGATTTCCAAGTGGTCAATTTCGGCCAGATGCAAGGGCCTTATGCTTCAGGCATGACTTTTTGTTTCTTGTACCCGTCGTGCAAGTCATGAAGCGTTCACCTTCGTCAGAGTGTGACCCTGGGGTTCCAAGTCTCGTTGCCATTGTAGGTCATCCAGTTCTTCTAGGAACGAAGAGGAACGAATCAAACATTCGTGCAGTTACCGCATCTTGCAAGCACCTGTTGCCAGTCTCAGGCCAGATGTGTTGGAACGGCCGTTCCCAACGATGCTGATTCTCTTCCATCCAGCCACGAGCACAGAGCAGCCGTGCAGATTTGTTTCGGAACTGCCTCTGAATTTTTCTGGATTTCTCGTTCGCGGAGGCGACATTCGCCTCAAAAGCTCCAGCCTTAGGGTTGCCGGCATTCCAGATTCGTGGTGACGTAGTATGCCTAGTATGCCATGAAAGATATGTGCATACTATCACATATGCTCACCTGGTTGTCTAGTGTTTCAGGAGATCTCATGTTGGTTTTTGGCCGACTGGACCCAGGTGTTCGTGCCTGCGCTGCGGGACCTAGAAGGCTCCCTTACCGGCAAGTCTCCTGAACGTGTTAGTGTTCTATGGGGTGATGCTTGGCAGAAACTCGACCAAGCACGCGTAACACTTCGTCAAATCGGGAGCTGCCTCGCTCGATAGGCCAAACCCCGACTCTGTGGGCTGTTGAGTCGGCATTGGTCAGGCTTGCTGCGCAAGGCTGAGATTCCTGTGAGCATCACGGCTTTGGACCTGACCGCCTCGCCGCACACCAAGTGCGTGCAAGAGGTGCAGTCGAAACTACGACAGAATCGGGGCTGCATGAATACCATTTTAAAACAATGTCTCATGGAAACATCGCAGTGTGGCATAAACATCGCAGACTGAGAAAGTGCGCAGGCACAGTGGCAGAACTAGTTCAGACATCAGGCATGTAAAAGCAGAAGAGCGGGAAAACATCGCTTGTCGGAATGATCTCGTCATGACATCTCACGATCTTCAAAATGTGAACAAATGCAATATGCCGTAGGGACAGCAACGCAAGAACATGCATCACCTTGTCAGCAGAACACAACGGCGCAAGGCAGGGGCGACCTGTGCAAATGGGAGAGACAGAGACAGAGCCCCAGGAGAGAGAGGACTCCAAGCCTGGCCGAAAGAAAACAACGCCGGGAGGGACTGATGTAGCCCGGAAGGCGCGGAGCAGATAAATGCGGAGTCACAGCACCAACTGGTTGCAAACAGCCAGCAGCATCGCACAGTACAATTCTGCCAGCAACGCAATAAAGCACTTGTTTGCAGACCGGCATCATTCTTCCGCCTCGATCTTGAAATTGTCATGTGACATCACGGGCAAAGTAGTTGCCAGAGTGACGTGATGCGACTGCTACCTGAAACCACACTGACGCATCAATGAAAGCATGCTGCGAAGTTCTTCTGGATCGTACGTTCATGTTCCAAGGCCCGCCCCCCCGGATGCGTTCTTATGGGAATACCCAGCCGCCACGCCCCCGTGCTGAGCAGACAAGACTTTCGGACTGATGTTTTTATGCGCCGTGTGTGCAGGAGCTTTGGCCTAGACAGACCTTTCGTTTCTTGTCCGCGATTCCGTCAAAATCAAGGCCGTTGCGCCGCACATCCAGCTTATCCTGCCGAGATCCATGGATGGAGAGGTGAGCCACCTTGCACAACTGAGTTGGACAATGTGGTGATGCCTTTTACGAAACGGCTCACCGCTGCGGGTTTATATGCGGGAGGGTCGCCTTTTGTAACTCTACTAAACGAGGCCGGAGTGGTCGACTACGACGGTGTATGGGACGCGCGGTCATTGGCAAAGGCAGCATGCGGCATGCTCCCCAGCGTACGAGCCGTTGAAACTTGCATGGCCAGCAGGCTTGGTGAGTGTGACATGCCATGTGCTGCCCATGCGTGAACTCGCAGTCAGGCGACCCTTTTCCGCAGCTGCTACCAGGTCTGAGACACAAAGTTTCACACAGACTTGGGTTTTTGGCCATGGAGCTTCAGAACACCTTCCTCGGCTGCAAGAAGGACCGATTCTAGCCTAGCGGACTTGCATGCTAATGGACCCCGCGTTCCAGATGCTCGTGCATGTTCTCACTCAGATAGCCAGCACCTTGCAATCAGGAGGAGCTTCCTGCGCACAAGCGGTCCTTGAGTTTGCCGCCGCGGCCTAGCAAAGCCTGCGTTGAAGGCGATGCGGAGCTGTCGGAGACGTGACTGCAACCTGCTTAGTTGTTTTCGCAGATTGGACCAAACAGCAGGACGCTGCGATGTGGCCAGAACTTTTAGTTCAGGGTGCTGGAGACAACAACAGATAGACGGAGAGAACACAGAATGGGTGCGTTGGCTTCATGCCGCTCGCGATTCGGTCTAGAGCAACCGAGGAGATCCAGAGCTATGTGAGAAATCTGGGACACCGTGCCCTTCAGCTTCAACCGCTGGTAGCAGCTGACTTGCATTCAGCAGCCTCCGACATAGAAACCATGGGGCGTAGGTGCGGGCGGTGCGCGACGGAGCGACGACCACGCAAGAACATGTTGGTATCTTCCGTAGAAGCCCAAAAGTTGGAAACCCACTGGCCTCAATCCTTAAGAGTAATGTATACTAAATCCCGGCACTAATTATCCTTAATCCGGTTTCCAACCCTTTTTGGGGTTACTATAATTGCTTTCGAAGGTGTAACTGGAGAAGTTTCGGGTGCATCAGATCTTACACGATTTTGATCTTGATGCTGCATCTTGCGCAGTTGTGCTGCAAAAACAGTTTCTGCGGTGCTGCTGTGTGTTTGGTTCGAGTGGCACCTCGGCTTTTCGAGGGCAGTTTGACGGACCAGAGAAGCAGCAGCTAGGTTTCAATTTCGGAGCATTTTGCGAGCAGGTCTGTGTTGTAAACCTTTGTCGCGCTACAGTCTGTACTCGTTGGTTCGTGACCAGAATGTCAAACATGCTTTTCGGTTGGAAGCTCGCAGGCACACAGCCACCCCGTCTCCATCAGAGAAAAAAGTGGTAGGCAAGTCGGAATAATTACGATCGGTGCTTTGGGACCGAGGTGCGCCAAGGAAGACGACATCCCTAAACAAATCGAGATGAAGTGCAGCAAAAGCACTGGCGAGGGCACCCCTGCATGTCTTGATAATCAGGCTCTTAAGGCTTTCGGCGGGGCCTTGGCACATGGTTGTACTTGATGATTGTCTTATTCGGGCTGCGGCTGTCCCTTGTGGAAACGGTTGAGCTTGCAGGTACGCAGCTGCGGCACCAGCTTCGTTGCCTCAATGTCTGTTTGCCAGGGGAATTTTAAGCGGCGGCAGGTTAACTGTCAACAGTTGACAGGTGCAGCATTCGTTGTAGCTACTTCGAAAATCGCTTGGAATGCTGCATGGAGGCCAGTGTGACACAGTCCCTTTGATCCAGTAGCATTGCAGTACTTACCTTTGAGCCCAGATTGTCGGATGACGGGTGCGACAACTGGCCTTAGTAAGCGTAGAAAGACGGACAGCCCGATAATTCTCTCGCAAGCTGGATGTGCCTAGATGGCTAGCGGCTAGCCACGAAAGGCGGCCGGTATGTCAGGACATGATCGAGTCTGCTGTTGCCAGCCCTTGTCACTGTGTGATGGCTGTGGGATCCGATCTTGGAAGGGCTTAGATTCCAGAGCCCGTGGCCAGAGAGCCCGACCTTATGTTGAAGCTCTAGCAATGCAGGGGCAGGCTGCACTACGCCATGCACCACTTGGGCTTCATGGAGTCAAAGCGTACATAATGCTTCCTTCGCTTTTCCTTTCTAACTCTAGCACAGGACTTGGAGAACTAGATTTAACAGAGAGCCCTTGAATTGACCAACTTGCATTGTTTGCATTCGGCATTTGCACTTGTTCAGCATGTCTGCCGATTCTTTTCCGACAGGACGGGTTGCATGCTGACCAGGCCATGTCAATGATAGATACCCAGTAGCGTTAGCGCCACTGGCGCGTACTCATTGGCACTCATGTGTGCTTTTCCTGATCAGACGGTGTCTCCCGTCCCTGCCATACAAGGCAGGAACTCACAATTTGCACGCGCATGCGAGTGCGCACACAACGTGAGCACTCCAGCATCGTACAGGCTTTTGGCTTGCATTGTGCTGGGCAGCATAAACAGCTGTTGATTGACTCTTTGTATTCGTATCGAGATGAGCCCGACAAACAACATGGGTGTTGTCGGCTTCGTACCCAGATTTTGGCCAAAGGTGCACCAATGAAAGCGCAATTGGGCAAAGGACGAGACATGTCGGTATGACACTGTAGCCTGGCCCCCTGAGTCCAAATCGAGCCGCACCAAGTGGAGCGGGCTTCCATTGACCATCCGAGTCCTTGCACCCAAAATTGCACTTCTTTGAGGTGAGCATGTGCCAATTATCATTGGAAACGCGGCTACCTTTTTCGGCCCTGCCATTGTGGCAGGAGTCCAAGGACAGACCCGCAGCTGCGTGTCACCGGACACATGCGCAGGCAGCACGCAGTCAAAAGGCTTTCGCTGCATTCAGGCCTTCTGTGGTTCCAAGCCCCAACCAACCTAAACAAGGCTGTGTCCGAGTACCCTAAGTCTTCGGTGTGTCGAGCTGTCAGGCCTCGCCGGTCCTCGCGCCTCGGAGATCTCAGCGGAGGTCAGGATTCAATTTGCAGATCATGGCCGACCCTTCCGCTCCTGCTTCAGTCTCCGGCGACATCATGTGCCCTTCTTTGCTGTCTTCTCACAAGCTCCAGCGCGCGACGGGGTCCAAAACGGTGTGGTTGCCAGGACATCTCCCGCTTGGAGAACGGTATTCAGAAGCTTCGCGACCTGATTTTCGAGATGCTTTTTCTGCAGGAAAGTCGCCAATCCCTCGATTTGACAGCTCGATTTGAAGATTGTTTTGCTGCTCGAAGGAAGTGCCCTTGCCAGATGTGGACCGAAAGGCAGGGCTCCCCCGAGTACACTCCCGCGCTGTGCTCCCCTGAGAGTCTGAGAGTTAGGGCTTAACAAAACTTTCCTGCCTCTTGCAGCATCCCTTCGGGAAGAGGTGCGAGCTGCGGGAAATTCCTCCTCTTTGCTATTATGGATGGACGTTACTCCCCTTTGTCGCGAGGTAAGTGCAGTTGCCAGGAGCAGAGCAGACTGAGTTAGGCTTTCTTAGCACCCGCCGCGCATGAAAACCTCACTGAGACGCCCTCAAGTCTCGGTGCTAACGCACGGACCATGCACATGCAAGAGAAAGTGCGTCAGCCTAAACCTGAGCTGTGGAGGCCTGGTGGTCGCGGTGGCTGCGAGTGCCCGAGCAGGTGCACAGACTTGTGTGCTTCAGAATTTGTAGTGACGACCCGGAGTGATAACAACTTGTCTGTACGAGGAAATTGCTGGGCTGCACGTAATTTCCGTCGTTGATGCGGCAGGACCGTTCTGCTATTGCCGCGGCCGAGAAGAAAAGATGGCAGGACGGAGCCTTTGCAGTGTTGCCAAGTTGTGAGCAGTTGTCAGTCATGATAGATACAGGCTAAAACACTTGATGTTGCGATGATGAGCCTCTATATATCACGGTCCCGGTAGCTCTGATCGGCTTCTGGTCAGAATAGGCAGGAGATGGCTTCATCTCTGATTGGCATGTCGGTTCATCATGGTCTGTGGCGACAGGGATGCTTAGAGATGGGTTCAGGTACGTTTCTGTTTCAGGGTACAGCGTTAGTGAATCGATGGCAACAGTTGATGGGTTGGTTCATGCTGCTTTCCTTGTGCCACTTGTCACGCCGATGCGCAGGCACACTTTTCGGTTGCTTGTGGTCTAGATCGTATCGTACTATGTCAGAAAAAGACACAGTGCTACATCATTCGGGCATTCGCTACTAAGCTACGTCGCAACGGCCCCTGCAGGCTGTCTACCAGGCTGAGCAAGAGATTGAGATTCTCCATGGTTTGCGACCTTAGACTCGCAAGTCGTGACTTCTCGAACATGTCTGGGTCAGTTGCAAGTGTCCCACAATAGCTGAGGTCTGGAGGTGGCTGCCCCAAGAAGTATGCAGATGTCAGTTTGCTCCTGCTGTGCAGAATCTTAGGCATCTTAGGGGGCTGGCATTGGCTTTCCTTGACAATATCCTGCTGCCGCCTCGAGGCTGCCATCTCGTCATGCGAGGCAGCACTGCTTCGGCTACAGCAGGGGCCCTCAGCAGTGGCCGAAGACGGTGAACTCCACAGCAGCTTGTGGGCTATCGCCGCAGCCGGTTTGCTTGAACCCGCTGTTGCCTACAAACAGCTTGCCCAGCTAGCATGATCTTCCTCACTTGCAATGCCACTTGATTGCTAGCAGAAGCCGTTCGGCCGTTTCTGTCACAGGGCCGGTTCCTTAAGCTTGACAATGCCAGTTTGGCATCTCGGTTTCTCTGATGTCGCTGCACTGCGTGGTTTTGGTTGATCGATCGTGGAAATTTTGCTGCTTGCCCAGTGTCGGCACAGCACAATGGCCACGATGCGTGATGCGGGGAGAAAATCGATGCCACCAGAACCCATGCTGACTCCACTCTGGGCGCTAAAAGCCATTACTTTCTTTTCAGTTGGTGCCAACTCAAGCCTGTTTCGATTCATTGCCGTGTTCTACCACGAGCTGGGCCTAAGCAACTGGCAGATCGGTATTCTTCAAACCCTGCATCCTTGGATGACTTTTCTGGGATCCTTGGTCTGGGCTGCCATGTGCGATGCCACGGGGGCCTACAAGCCAATCCTCCTGGTGTCGAACTTCTGTGGAGCCCTCGTGATGTGCTCCCTGCAGGCCGCTTCGGAAGGGCAATTTACCCGGGTATGTGCTTCCGTCGCTCTGGGATCTTTCATGCTCTCTGCTCGTGCCGGCCTTCTAGATGCTCTAACGTTAAAGGTGGTCGAGGAGTATCGCAGCCGAGCGGCCGGCGCAGAAGGCGGAAATGTGCCGAGCTACGGGCAGCAGCGGCTCTGGGGTTCTGCAGGCTTCGGCCTTTTCGCCTTACTGTCTGGCTGCGCCATGGGGCGAATCGGGAGCAGCGGAATGTTTCTGATCTTTCTGTTTTGCCTGTTGATGACTGTAGTGTTGGTCTTAACGCAGCTGCCAGCGCGGGGCACGACTCGGGTGGAACCCCCGCCGGCCGCTTCCCAGGATGCCGGAAGCCTCTGCAGATTTGATGTTTGGTGGTTTTTCTCCAACCTCTTCGTCTATGGAGCTCACATGGCTCTCGTAGAGACTTTCCTTTTCGTTTATCTTTCTGCTGACTTTGTTGGAGCGAGCAAGCAGCTGTTGGGGGCATCTGTCTCAGTGATGTGCATTTTTGAAGTTCCTGTGTACTTGCTGATCCAGCGGCTCATCGACCGCTTTCCACTCACGCTGTTGCTGTCGTGTTGTCATGTCATCTTTGCCTTCCGGGTCTTCGCCTACAGCATACTCCCGGAGGATCGGCCCTACTTCGTTCTTTTCATCGAACCTCTGCATGGGGCCACCATGGCTGCGATGTGGGCCTGCAGTGTGGAGCTCGGACGCCGCCTGGCACCTGAGGGAGCCCGCGCACGAATGCAGGCTCTGGTGGCGGGCATCTACTACCGGGTGGCGTCGGGAGCCGGGTCCCTTCTTTGGGGACACCTAACACAGCAGCCACCTCTGGGCTACGGCTTCCAGGCCATGTATCGCCTTGCTTCTGTGACCATACTGTCTTGGTGCATCATCTGGAATGTCGGGTGGTGCCTCCGCAGCGGGCGGATTGCGCAGCCGACGGCATACCGACCTCTGCCCGATCGCGCGTCCGCGTGATGGCCACGTGCGGTGAAGCACGTCCCTCGGGAATTCCAGCAAGGGCCAGCAATGAGGCTTCTGTCCGCGATTACGGCATGCTGGAAAGAGAGCTGATGTTCACTTTGGGATTCTACAGTTTTTAGGCACGGCCAAAATGGGGATCAACGAACTGTCACTCGATTCCTTTGCCTCGTGTTGTGGTTCAGATCCTGTTGGTTTCCCCAATCAAACTGACAGCATGCATTGGTAGCTTGCATGATCTTCCATGAGTTGACCGTCGGTTTAGGACTTGTACCAGGTTGGAAGATGTTTACGTTTGTCTGTTGATTATCCATCTAGTGGGTGCCTCGTACAGTAGAGGGGGAAAGAGAGAAAGGGATCCCTGCCCGCCAGCCGCAGCAACTTCCTGCCCGAAGCTTCAACATCAGAACGGAGTTCACGATCCTCGGGGCAGGGTTTTGTCGAGACATGCTCTGTCTGCACACGGAAAGGAGGGGATTGCTAAACGAAGGGTTTCGGTGGGATGCCGGGGTGTTGGCGAAAATGTCATGTGCAGGCGAGGCCCATCGAGCACGCCTGACACGGGCAAAAGATGATAGGCAGCACAGTCCGCGAAGCGTCTGCAAAAGAGGGTCAGAGGGACCACTGTTCTTTCATGTCTCAGTGTCGCTCAGTGCACAGTTTAGAGGCTTTGATCGACGGACTCAGTTGCCTCGCCTGAGCTTCCGGAGTTGCAAGTTGGAAATCCAGACTGGCTTCCCGCTCAAGCATTTGTGGTTGCTTGCGTCATGTAGCCATTGGCGCCTGCGAGATGTGGTCGAGCCAGCAGGATGCCGTATGGATTGACTCCAAAGAACCACGTCCTTCTTTAGCCATCCGACACATGCCGATAGGTTCGTGCTCGAGTTGCTTCCGGTGGAATGTTTACGGGCTTTGTCGAGAACCGCCCGAATGGATCGTGATGCGGACCGACACGCTCGGGATTTTCGTGGACAGCGTTGCCGGAGTCAGCCGCAACCATCGCTAGAAGCGTTCTTCAGCATGCGAGGGGCTCGTTGAGGTCGTCCGCGAGGATAGGAAGACAGACACGATGTTATCACTACGGAAATCGGATCACTCTTCCACATTGGGCTGTCTCGCCTGCTTCGCCTGCTTGTGCCGCTTGTGCCTGTTTGAAGACATCTCGACCTGGCAATCGCAGCATATTGCTCCAGCTTGATCAGTGCAGTTTCCGACATGAGGAAGCTGTCAGCCTGTGAGCCTTGCACCCACGGTTACCTGAATAAGCTCCAGCTCAGCCACGCAACGGCAAAATTGGGGGAGAAGTGGTCGTAGCGGTCGTAGCGATCATGTTGCCAGGGGGTTACGCCTGGCGCAAATTCAAAAGCGCACGACGATCACCTTTTGGCTTAAGATGATGTGCACGCAACTGCAAGCATCATTGTTACTGCATTCTTTTTTGCACAGGTATCCCCGAGTGCAATTCAATCACATCTCAGTCGGAAATGGACGGTGCACTTATACTTCTGCTGCTGCCTTTCACGGCATTGTCATGCAATGTGCTATCCTTTGCTAAGCTGACAGAGTCGATCCACAATGCCGCCGGCGATAGCTTGGAATGGTATCAGGGTCCATCACATGCTGGAAAACTCGACGTGCCTTGGCCCACGGCATGTCTTGCACTGTCCAAAGCTTGACCGTGCCTCGTCGTGTGCATCCCAGGCAATGCATACCGAGCGTCCAGCTGCTGATGCTGCGGCAGCTGGCCGAGGAGCTCTGTGATTTGAAGTGGCGGACCATGCCTCGTTTGGGATAGCTTGCTGCAAGGGCTCGGGCTGCTTGAGCATGTTGAGGGCTGTGACTGCGAAATGGTCTGGCGGCTTGCCCCCTCCCTCACATGTTAACACGTGCTCGTGATTTGTGTCACATCGCAGAATGACTTCTTGCGAGCATCTCACAGACTAGAAAGTATGCAAGCTCCCTCGATGTTGTTTCCGCAAAGCGGCATGTCCAGGAGCTCTCCGAGCAACTGGATGTGGCGCGCAAGCAGCTTGCTGCAAGGCTCGTTCAAGCTGACGGTCTGACACCTTTCGTCCTCTCGTAAGCCTGTGAATGTGATGGTTGCACTCTTTGCAAGTCCAAGGCAGCAGCGGCACAGCGACGCTTCTCAAGCGACCACATGCCCTTCGGATGGAGGGCCGTCTTCGGAGGCCAGAAGCAGAGTCACTGGAAGACGCGATCATCGACAGTTGCTTTGCTTGACAGGATTTTCTAGAGGCACAAGAGGAGGAGCCAGAGGAAGAGTCGCCAAGCAGCATTCATGTGGAGCACGGCCCGGGAATTGACGAGTGGCTCAGCTCTTTCCGTGCCCAGGTCCGACATTCATCGGCCGTCCAGCGCGAAATTATCGCTTCCAGAGCGGATGACTCCGCCGCACCCCGGCCAGCAGCATCAGTTGTCGCATCGAGAAGCGCATCGCAGCCAGTACACATTCCAAATTTCTGCAAGGTGCCAGGTACTCATTCCGCGTACCCAACCACGTATTGTGTAGACTTGCAGTGTCGCCCCAAGAAGTCCAAAGTCCGCCTGCCCTTCGTTCACTTCTCCCGAACATGTCCAACCATGCATAGCGATGCCGCAAGATGCAAAAACATTCCTTCCAGCGTGATGTTTGTAGGCGTATGCCTTGGGACTCCTGCTCGCTGCGTGGAAACCCTTTTGATGGGCTGCCTGTGCATCAGCGGGAGCCTGAAAGAGGGCGTGGGGAAACGTTGCGGAGCGATCCCTAGTTAGCAACAAGAATGTTTGAGCAGAGGTTGCTGAGCCAGCGAGTGCAACTGTGCACCCGATCAGTGTTTTGCTTGAGGTGTGAGGATGTCAGGTTTCCCAGCTACGTCACCCCAGGATGACTGAGAGGGGAGTTCTCATCTTCTCACGAAGTCTAGCTCTGGAGCTTTCGGGAGTTGTCGTTTATCGATGCAAGTGAGTAGTAGTATCCCTGTATCTCGTCATGCAACGAACGGGGGAGGCCCCCCCTTACCGACATGTCCCGAATAAATGCAAAGGCTTCTGAGCAGTGGTCGTTGCTGTTCCTGCCCCAAGCGATTCCGGACTAGGTCCACAGGATCACGAAGTTCCTCCCACGAACATGGCGGGACTGATGCAGCTTGCCAGACGGACGGCGAGGACTGATGCTGCAAACTGTAAGAGAGGTTAAGAAACTGACCGATTTTTGAGCTATCAGGCGGAGGCAGAAGGCCTCAAACGAAGCTGCGGCTAGTTGGGGACCTTTGGGGGGTCCTATGGAGTCCTAGGATGCACTGCAGCGACTCGAGTCCAACTGTTTATCGAGAGGTCCAAGGTTACTTGCACCTTTGCAGTAGGTTTAGTTCCAGTACCTACACGGGCCTGCAAGCAGAAAACGCACCTAAGCCGGGCTTGAAGCTAGCTTCCAGCTGGGCATCGCAGGAACACGGCCCCCTGGCTGAGAGGGCTGATGGAGCTTGCCAGACAGACGGCGAGGGCTGCACTGCCTCTGAGCAGTGGGCGCCTTCCCATGAAAACGCCGAAGATGGAGAGTGGGTTGTTCTTCCCGAGGCGGGTTCCGAGGGCTCCTTACCAGGGTTCTTCAGAAAAGTCCACGTCAACCTCCCAGGATGCCAATGACGAAGAGCATCAGCTTGGTGAGGAAAGGGCAGCTTGCAGCTCTAACTTCGCCGAGGTGCCTCCAGATCGAGTGTGTTTTTCAGAGGCGACACACGCAAGCAACTGCAACGTCTCGACTTGCATGTGTAAGCTGATGCATTACGCCTCTTATGGACTAACGGCTTTGCTTGGTTTGCGAGGCGTTACAGTGACTGCTCGTTGTGAAAGGCACAGACATTGCCAGACGGGGTGGTTAAATCTTGCTCGGTTCACGTGTTTCTGCAAAGATATATTTTGTATGGTATATATACATTTATATATATATATACATATATATATATGTATGTATCTCCTAGAAACACGAACTGATTTTTGAACATGTTCAGATATTTTTACACCTGAATACTATGCATCGCAGCAATGCAATCTTTGATCGTCAACTTTGAAACCAGAATAAACGTGTCTAGACACGATTACACATGTCACAAATGTCTCGAGTCTCGAATGGTTGTAATGTGAAGAAGTTGATCGTTTCGATTTCAGGTGCAAGAACGTACAAACGTAGTCAAGGGATAAACAGGCCGGGCCAAGATTAACATAAGGTGACATCAGCAACCAGCTGTACTTTCGAGGCACGCACAAAAAAAGCATGTGAGTATTTCATGCGCCGTACCGGGTCCACAAACGCCTGTAAGTTCTGTCTCACACCCAGGGCCAATTCTACCTTGTCGCCGACTCCAGAAGACAACACATGTCAGAAAACTCGGCCCTACATTTTGGGGGCCCTGGGGTCAAAACGAATGCCAGGAAATTACACCGTGTATCGTGTACCCAGAGCCAATTCCCTTACACCCGCGAGGTTTTAGTGAGATCAAACAGATGCTGGACCAGAACTGCTCTGTCAGCCCGGACTATTTCGTTGAAGGCGCAAACAATCTTCGTGCTTTCTAAATTCTAAATGTAACAGTTGTGGTGTGTTGTGAAACCTATAGCAATCTATACTTGACTTCCTCCTGTTGTGGAAGCTTGGCGGAGCCAACCGTCTTTGAGTTTACCTGGGTAATCTTGTGTTCCATTCTGCCAGTAAAACGAACGGAGATGGAAAACCCAGTGCTACGCTGGTGGACGAAAACGTTTCGTCTTCAGGATCGAGGCGGCAAAAGAACAGTACTGTCAAGAAATAAACGCATGGAAAACAGCTTGGAATCCAATGAAGGTGGTGGGACGTTGAAACCTTCCCTGACTACAATAATTACAGAAGTGGAGCAGTCCTCTTCATTGCTGTTCAAGTCACCGCCCGGACAGCCTTTGTTGGTGCTTTTTGTTCGCTGTGCCTCCTTCTCGCTTTGCTCTGTAATGCGCATTTTTCTCGATTTTTTGATGCCCTGTGTGCTTTTGCCGCATCTGCTTTGCAAGGGTTTATGTTGATTTTCCTTGCGCTTTGTTTGGCTCGTGTTCCAAACTCGCGTTTTGGGCGTTGTGTTGCCAATGTGTTTGCTGTTCGCGATGCCTTGGTCGTTGACTTTTTCAGTGTTGCCTGACACTCTCTGATTTTGATCCGTTCTGAGATGACGGCATCCATGACCCAACCATGCCGAGGTCCATGGTCTAATCTGATCTGTTCTGGGAACAGTGCATCCATGGCCCAGCCACGATTACATCCATTGTCAATTCCCTTCGCATCCATGGCCCAACCATGATGACGTCCATGGTGGAATGCGCTGTGGGATCAGCACCCCTGGCCCAGCCGTGGCGACGTCCATGGTCTGCTCCCTTCTGAGAAGGGAGCAGTGCCACCATTGGTTCTACATGTTGCATTCTAACCACGAATAAACGTGTTTTTAGACATGGCCTTTTAAACATGTTTGACACATGTTTACACACGATTGAAGATGTTTCAGCACGACGCGAACTATGATTTTGAGATTTTTCAACACCCCCCCCTGTACTGAAGCTTGAGCGTTTATTTTTCTTTTCGTTTTTGTGCACAAACCAATTGTAGACGCCCCGCCTTGCACAGCGATGACGCGTCTATAAAATCTAAAGTGATTTCTTATTCTTTTGTTGCTTTTATAAGTGGCAACACCAAGCTACAGCTGAAAGCATGTGCTGACCAAGGCCACAACTGGATACCTATTGTGTTACAGGTATGCGTGTCTTGTAATTCGGCTGCATTATCTTTATCAACTTGATCCATTGCTTAGCCTGCAGGATACGGGGAGTCCGTCTGATCATACGTGTTACGATGTTGGGCATTTTGCGTTTATTCGTGTGTGAAGTATACGTTGTACGTTTGCACGTTAGACGTGATACGTCGTACAGGCCGTACGGGACCGTAGTGGTGGTGACCGGCAGGCCTCGAGGGGCTTGCTTTACTCCCTTGACTCCCAGGTCCCACGGAGGAAGTCACTGCAGAAATCCTCCTTGCTAAGTTGTCTCCAGCGATAACTCGGCCGATCCTTGAGCTATGATCATGCTGTCAGCAATATTTGCAAACGAGAAGACCTGTAACGAAGTACAAGTACAGGGCCAGGGCCGCAGCGAAGCTTCAGTTCCAGGCCTTCCCCTGGTAGTGGCAGATAGTATGACGGCAACTGGGCCGGCTAATACCTAGCTTTCAGTTGAAGCCCTGGCCAAGCCAGAGGATGCCGGTGGCCATTTTTGCGTCGACGAGGGGAGGCTGGTGATCTTTGACAGTGAGTCTAAGCGACCCGTCTTGATCTGGTGCTGCGAGTAGCAGTGGTCGTGGCTGGCTGTTCTTTAGTCAAGCACTGCCCGACAAGGTCCACAGGATCCCGAGATGCATCATGCCAGACGGACTGCGACGTCTGCACTGCGTCTTGTCGCAAGGCCACGACGCATTTCCTCAAGCACATATGACAGGTCCCGTGCACTATAAGCCGTATTCCGCCGGCGCCATGCAGTGCCTGCCAGCCCCTGCGCCAGCCCAGCGCCAGCCCAGAGCCCTTTGCCAGCGCCAGCCCTTCAACCCCCCCCCCCATTTGGCGATGCGCCCACATTTGGCGATCCAGGTTGATCACATATCTTAAACTCGCTCATCCCGATTCACATTTCCTAAACCCATCTCCTCCTTTGGCGATCCCGTTTCACCACTTACCTTAAGCATGCTCGCTCATGAGGCGGTCTCGGCTAATCACAATTCTTAAACCGCCACCTCATTAGTCGATCCTGGTTGATAACGTTTCTTAAACACCCCCGCAATCCAGGTTGTTCACATAAGCTTGAACCCGCCTCTCATTAGGCCATCCTGGTTGATCACATTTACAGAAAACCAGCCCCTTCTTTGGATCCAGGTAGACTACATTTCTTAAACCCGCCCCCTCATTTGGCGGGACCGATTGATCAAGTATCTTAAACCCGCCCCCTCATGTGGCGATGCAGGTTGACCACATATCTTAGATCCACTCCCCTGTGGCGATGCCGGTTGATCCCGTTTGTTTTACTTGCCCCTCATTAGGCGATCCTGGCTGATCACATATCTTGAATACGCCCCTCATATGGCGATGCCGGTTCATCACATATCTTAAACCGGGCCCTCCTTTAGCGAAACAGGTTACTGGCGTTTCTTAAGACCCCCTCTACTTGGCGATGCAGGTGATCACATATCTTGAACTCGCCCCCTCCTTTGGCGATCCAGGTTCATCACATATCTTAAACGCGCCCCTCACTATTATGCGATCCCGATTGATCACATATAAATGAGGCCTTAAACCCACCCCCTCTTTGGCGATGCTGGTTGATCACATTTATCAACGCAGGTTGACCCCCCTTTGGCTTTGGTGATGCCCGTTGATAGCATTCTTGAAACGCGCCCGGTCCCGTTTCACTACTTATCTTAAGCACCCCCCCTCATTCGATCCCGGTTGATCACATTTCTTAAATCCCGACCCCTCTTTCGGCGATGCCGTTTCATCACATATTTTTTAAACATCCTGAAACCCGCCCCCGCATTCGGCGGTTGATCGCATTTCTTCAACCCGCCCCCTCACGTATCTTCAACCCGCTCCCTCATTTTGCGATCCCGGTTGATCACATATGTTCAACACAGCGAGTACACAGCGCCAGCCCCAACGCCCGCCATCCTTCCCTCATGCGGCGCAGCGCCAACGCTCGCCAGACCTTCCCCAAAAAAGCGCAGCACAATCGCCCGCCACAGCGCCAGTGCCAGCGCCAGCGTGACCTCCCCTGCGCATGCAGTGTCAGTGCCAACGCCCAGCCATTCATTCCCATGAGCAGCACAGCTCCAGCCCCACGCCAGCCCCATGCCCCAGCCCAGCCCCTGCCCAGCACCAGCCCAGCGCCAGCGCCAGCGCCAGCGCCAGCGCCAGCGCCAGCGCCAGCGCCAGCTCGCGGAACTAGTCTATCCCCATCCCGCCATGACCCGATGCTGCAATCAGAGTCGAGCAAGATTAGCCGAGGACTGTGGCCCGTTCCAAGAGACTTCCGCGACGCTGTGTTCGACGTTGTCTTTGCACTCGCAGACAGAAGCTGGGCAATCAAGATCCATGTAGCTGCTATTACAGTAGGTCAGTAGGCTTGAGGGCTGCCCCAGAGATGACTGAAAGATCTGTTACAACCAGAAGCCTGAACGCATCTCAACGCATCTCAACGCAAGGAGCTTGCAGCCGTCGAGGTTGGCGGTGGCGAATGCACCCCCTCCGACCTTCATGTGCACCTCGTCTTATGTCTGTGGCCTGCTCACATGTTTTCTGTGTCTTTCCGACGACAGCAGCTCCATGGCAACGTCTGTGCCGAACGATCCTCAGGGCAAACCTGTTGCCGTACCTGACTGCGGCTTGGTTGCAAAGTGGCCAGTGGCAGGGCTTGTCGACGAGCTGTTGCAAGGGCGTTCTTTTTGAGATTTCTCTCTGCAGCACAGGTGCAGGAGCTGCTGAACTGGCGCCTGCTTTCACGACGCACCAGAAGCCCTAAGGCCTGCACTTTGCCTCCCTGCGCCTGCTTCGTTTTTTTTTGGAGGCGACTGATTCGTCTCGTGGAGGTTATTGCTTGATGCGCGTGTGCGGCTAGGTGTTGATACAGCACGTGGCCGAGATGGGCAGCATGGACAGGCTCGGAAGGGCCCTGGCATGTTTGTCCTGTCTGTCAGAGGCCATCCTTTTTCCTTTTGCAAGCACCGAGAGTTTGGCCTGTGTATGCTTGTGACATATGCATGTCATCGGTGCTCGAAACTGCTGTGCAGGCCAGAAGCAATTGTCGCTTTCGCAGAAAAGGTGACCATGTTCTTCCGCAATCCGGAGACATCATTCGCGGCAGCTTTAAGAGGCCATGCCGAGACGCAGAGGCTCTACGAGTCCGCGTTTGGAGGCGATGCCACGCAGCAGAAGCTCTACGAGTGCCAACTGACTTGTTGGCCAGCAGTGGTAGTAGGGCTTAGTTTTCGACGAGGGTACATTACAGCCATCACAGTATACATACATATTTACACACACACACATATATATAGATATAGATATAGATATAGATATAGATATAGATATAGATATAGATATAGATATATATATATATACACATGTAGAAAGAGCATACTTAGTTTCGAGCTCCGTGGGAATATTGCTGTGTTGACTTTTAGTTTCGTGTCGGGAATACTTGTGCAAAAAGCTCTACTTTACGTCCATCTTTCCGCATGGCATAACTCGGTTCTACCGGCTTTACTCGACTAAGTGTCATTCTGAGCCCGGTCGTGGTGTATGGCCCTGGCGGCCAATGATCGAGTCCATTTTGCCGAAATCGACGTTCGCCGCATTGTCGGCAACAACCTCGAATCTTTGCTGTGGCACTGCCGAAGTGCGGATGCGTCCGTTGCCGACGCCGCCGGCCTCCTTGTTTACAACTACGCTTCTGATGCCATTTCTTTCGTGCAGCAGACTATCGTGGAGGCCACACTCGGCATGATGGAAGACTTCATCAAGTTCAACATACCTGCCAACTTGGAGAAGATTCAAACTTGCATCGGAACCCTTGCGAAGGTACTGCGCTGGCTGAGCAAGCCTCAGCGTCAGCAGTGGGTTTCCCTTATGGTCAAACTGCTGATGGACCATTACGTGTCCACAAGGCATGTGATCAGGGAGCTGAAGATGCTATGGCTGGCTGACGATGATCCGAAGCGAACCTACGCAGAAGCGGTGCAGCAACTGTGGATTCTGGCCGACTCTGACAGAACAGGAGAAGTGAAGAGTGCGATTCTGAGTCTCCTGTACAGCAGCTGAAGTCTGCCTCCACGAGCCAATGCGCATCAAAGAGAACTGAGTGTGCTCGTGCAGTCTCGGACCATCCGAATCCTCTTCTTCGGCTTGTTCATCATCACCATTGTCAGGTCCATCCGCATCATCCTCATCGGTCCTCAGCCTCAGATCCTCGTCCTCTTCGTCGTCATGGTCGTTGTGGTTCTCCGTCTAGTGGTCGTTTTCCCCATGTTGCTGAACATCTCTCTAGCCGCCTGCCGCCACCGCCGCCGTCGTCACTATCATCACCACCACAATCATCATCGTCATCGTTGTCGTCATCGTCACCATCACCATCACCATCAGCATCATCATCATCATCAGCATCGCACGAACAACAGCCCCTCTCGCCCCTCCCTATGGTGAAGGCAACGGCCCGCCGACAGCACCCCATCTAAGTCTTTGTGCAGCGTGTCACCACAGTCCAAAGCAGCACAGGAACCATACTGTATGTGCTTGCGATGCATTACGCACCTGACATTTTCAACGCTTAGATCCCGCAGTGCGTTCGGGTGGCCTCTCTGGCATGGGCCTATTTGGCATTGCGCCGGCTGCGGTCGCAGCTGTGGCTTTTGGCGTTCAGTATGTGCCGGTTAAGAAATACAAGATACTCGTCCGAGCCAAGACCTTTACTTTGTTGATGGGGCCATCGTCTTGCGCCCTCACGGTTCGTGCCCCAGCCCTGACTGAGTGATAATTGGCGCTGAGACCAGGATTTACGATGGTACCACCTTCCAGCTGCTTCGATGCCAGAAGTTTTCTGAGAGTCGGCACGAGTCACGAAGCATTTGCTGGGAGCTTCGAGGTGGTTCATGTGCTCTGGCATCCTGTTCGTTGGCTTGGCCTTTGCGATCCTGGGTGGAGATCTAGCTAGAGGTTCCTGAACGGGGCAAACAACCGGCCTTCATTCAATCCATGATTCCAGGAATGCTCAAGCGCAAATAAAGACCTTAAGTGCCAAACTCACATTCGTTTCACAGTTCACATTGTGTGCGCATCGTGCAGGCATTCCGCCAAAGGTAGTTTTCGGTGGGTGTCTCTGGGCGCTGTCCAACTTCGCTTCCTGGCCGAAGAGGTGAGAGCCAGCTACGCTTTTGAGACTTTGGGGTCGGTGGCCCTCAGCTCTAATTTGAGGCTGTGCTGCCGCTGGTGAAACTGCTGGGCATCGGCTTGGGCTTCTCCCTGTACCATTTTCAGAACATGATTGTGGGACGCTTGGGCTTGCAACCTTGCTGGGCCTGCGAAGCCTATTCCTTCAAAGCTTAACTTGATTCGGTTGAGACTTGTACTGGTGTGAGAAAGATGGGAAAGTTCGCGACTTGAGTCCTTTGTGTCTTGCACTGGGATCGCGGCACATTGCCGCTGTGTTGCAGGTCGGTGCACTTTCTTGCCACGCACAAGTTCTTTCGAATTGCTCGAGCCCAGGCTACGTCGTTGGTCGAAAAGGTCTTTTCGGACTCCCGGCTCTTCAGCCAGCGTTCGATGGCAGCACCTCGGCTGCCAGAGCCGGGCGCATTTATATGGGAGTGTTGGTTATGAGAGAATGTTGGGGATGGAGTGCCGGTCACCATGCTATAATGAGAAGGTGGCCTCGGACTGTTAATGTTGACACGAACAGAATGAGGAACCTCATCTAGATGATCATACGATGCCGACATAAGAGTTGGGGCCACCAGGCTCACAACTCTTCAGTCCCAACATTCCCCAATCCATCTTCACTCATCTTTCGCATCAGACTTGAGCCATGTCCCATGGCGTGTCATCCTTGCGGGGTGGCATGCAATCTTCGCTGCACAGCAACATGGAGCAAGCCTGAGCAAGCCCCTTGCAGGAGTTCATGACACGACCCGTGTGATAGCTCTGTGGGACCCCGCAATCTGAGGTCTTATCTTCTGCGATGTCGGGTGCTGCCTAATCCTGGTCTCCTTCGCTTCTCGCGATGGCTTTATGGTGTTATTTGTTTGTGTATGCTGCATTCCCTGTAGCCGTGTGGGAAGCGGCATGATGCTCAGGTTGCATTGTTGCTGGTGGAGGGTGGTGGAGAAAAGGAGTCCAACGAGAAGAACTCCGAGAACACACATCCTAAGCCGACAGCTCCTTGGCGTCTGTAACAAACCGTCCTTTGAAAGTTCGACGTGACAGCCCAAACGGCCTCAGGGCATCCGTCCGTCGGCAGGTGCATGGGAAGCCTTGTCAGCCAGACAGTTACGAAGAAGTTCCTGCCGACAGGTGCCGCCTGCTGCCAGCGTGTTTCGAGAGAGCACGGAGTCGTGTCTAGAGGTTGGATGATGGTATGGCTAGGGATCAGCACTGCCGACCGATGCACGCAAACCACCGATAAAGTAGCCTGAACCGCGACCGCCGCGACCTTAACACGTGCGAACAATACGAAAGGTGGTGACGAGGGAAAGAGTCGAAAGGTATTCGCATGGGGTCCCACGGAGGTGGCGACAAGTTTAGGTTGCAAGACGGAGCTCCGAAGTTCGAAGGCCTGCAGCCAAAGACGCTCCTCGGTGTATGAAACCCTAGGCCCCAAGCCCTGAGCTCTGACATGGACTGTGAAGTTGATATGAAGTTGCATGCTGGCTCGGGGACTTTCTGGCGCCATGATCCCGGCTCGCGTGAGCCTTTCAGGCCGCACCGCCTCTTCGAAGAGTCAAGCACTTTCGCCGCCTTTGCTCTCGAGATCGATGAGGGCGATGATGGCGAGGATGGCTCGGGAGATTTCGGACATGGCTCTGTGCCTTCACACATGCGGTGTCATCGGGCCGGGATACAGCCAAATTTTCAGACCGTAGATTGCTTGGATGAAGGAAGGGTAGAAAGTTTCTGGGGTCATCACGATACTCCAAGATGAGCCACTTGCAGATGTCGCCCATGTCCCGAAAACCTGGAGTAGCAGGCACTTTTTAAACTTGCCGAAGATCCGAAGTGGAAGCAATGGCACATCGTAGCACCACCAATACTGCGCGCTAAGCAAACTACTCGTAGTGTCGACCAAGAAGTGAGGAAAGCAATGCTGGCATTGGCGGATGTCCAGAGCGGTGATAAAGGTGATTCTGGTAGCAAGAGCGCAAGAATGCACGGTGCAACGCATTTAGGATCGCACAAGTGCGAGCAAGATTGGCAGGCATTTCGCCCAGAGCTACCCGATGTAGCCGAGGCAGGGAACTTGCGGGGTCGTCGTTAGCTGAGGTTCAAGCGTGAGGAGGGTGTTTCTTCACTGGTTGCACAGCTTCGACGTCCTCGAAGCTCGATGCCCATAAAAGTGGAAGCTTCCTTGCGGCCGTGAAGCCGCAACTTCAAGCCCTTGAAGCACCAACTCCGAAACGGAAGGAACCCTTTCCTTCCTTCTGCCAGACTGGTCTGATAGAACATCAATGACGATGGTTATGACGTGTTCGTGGCAATGATGCTGTTAGGAGGAAGAGGTTCTGGATGGGAACGAGATGATTACGAAAAGAATGTCAGATCATGTTCAACCGCAGCAGCTGTAGGAAAAGATCAGGCTGAGACGCTCATTTAGGTTTGAAGCCGATGAACATGGCAAAAACACTGCCGCACATGCTGACAAAGGAAAAATAATGTCGATACACCGAACATCGCAATACAGTTTTCAAGAGCTGCACACACCAAGAAGTCACCAAGTACTATGACTTGACCCGGAGCTTCATGACAGCACTCAGTAAGCATATCATAGCAGAAATAGTAGCAGATGTCACCGCATTCAGCTAGGGTCATCAAGCACAGTACCAGCAGCGATGGCATCGTCACGGCATGACCGGCATCGTTGTCGTCGTGGCATAAAGTGAGTTATCCTGGTAGAAGCAGTAGCACCATTAGAAGCAGGATTGGAGGAAGATCAGGAGCAGTAAGAAGAAGCTCCGTGGCTGAAAGCTATGCCGCCAGGATCAAACCCCACACGACAAGTTGCGAACTGAATTGCATCGGCTGGTCCGAGAATGCGCACACCCACTCCGAGAGCACTCCCCATTCTCGCTTCAAGCCCTCGAGCGCGTCTGCAGGTCACAACGGAACCTCCAAGGCCCCTGGGGGATGGAATGCCATAAGCCTTAATGGTTCACATGTTCATGAAACCGGCTGCAGGTTCCACGGATGGTTTGCGGAACTTGGATTGTGTTGCTTGTGGTGTTCACATCGCCACAAAAGGTTTGTCTTCAGATTTTTGGCACCAAACATTGCAGCATATTGCTGTAGCGGGGGAGGACTGCGCGCCTCCGCCGTCAGTTGCTGTGTAAGTGCCGCGGCAGGAAGCAACCTTGGCGGAACTGCGCTCTGGGTGTGCTGCTTGCAACTCGGCCAGTTTCGTCGCTTGTTTCATCTTGTTTCGACAACGACATTTCCTGCGACGGAGGCTACTACTACAGCCGCTAACATCATGGGCATGACCAAGTTTTTGATGGTGATAGCGATGATGATGACGATGACAAACAGTAGGTTGATGACGAATAGCAGGGTTATTCTTTAAGTTCCTTTCGTGACTGTTGCCATGACACGGCTGCTGAAGCTTATGCTGCTGTGGGTGAGTAAGCAAAAATTGATAGTTCTAGTAGTCGTCGTCGTAGTCGTCGTAGTGGGCGTCGTCGTCGTAGTAGGGAGGAGCAGGCACAGTAGTGATAGCAGTTGTAGTAGTTGTCGTCGTAGCAGCAGTGAAAGTCGAAGAAGTAGTTGTAGTTGCAGTAGCAGTAGCAGCAGTATCAGTAGTAGTAGTAGTCGTCGTCGTCGTAGTAGTAGTCGTCGTCGTAGTATGTAGTACGTAGTACGTAGTACGTAGTACGTAGTACGTAGTACGTAGTACGTAGTACGTAGTACGTAGTACGTAGTACGTAGTACGTCGTAGTAGTAGTAGTAGTAGTAGTAGTAAGCACTCCGGCTGAAATGCGTCCCAGCAGCGGGACTGATTTTTTCGAGGTGTAGCGCCGATGCCATGGACCAGCGCTTTTCTGCATGATTGATAAAGAGCATTGGATTTTGCGATGCTCAAGCAGCTTCTCATGCTTCTATGGGTGGCCGACTCGTCTCTGCCCAGTCTGGTGAGCATAGGCACGCTCATCACGCAGACTATGACC